TTCATGCCACCCATTCCAGGATTTCGGTTTGCATCTCTCAAGACTTTCAATATATATTGATTTGGATCGTAATTTTTACTTAACAAATATTTTATACGTTTTATATTTAAATCATTATTGAATTTTGTTTCATATAATTTATTAATTGGTATTACCTTTGCGCAAACTCCTTCAGCTGCATTAAGTAAACTATCAGTTAATTTTGTGTTTGTGTCAACCATTTTGTCGTAAAATTGTTTTACTGCGTCATTTTCCGTTTTTTGTATATCATCGGGAGTTTTTGCGGACTGCAATCGATTTTTCGTTGATACCCTTATATTGTCAAGTTCTGGAATAGTATTTCGTAATGCATTGTTGCATTTTTTAGATTCTTGACTAATCTGAGGGTTCTCGTGTTTTATAAGTTCTTCCCATGGTAATATGGTTTTCTTGCCCCTTGTCTTTTTAGTAATATTTGGTTTGTTAACTTCACTGTTTTCTAAGTTATTAACTGGAGTACTTAAGAGATCTTCATTTTGTGTGTCTGGACTTATTGGCGTTTCTTTAATTGGAGAACTTACTTTATTATTATTCACAGTAGTGTCAGCTGAAACATTTTCTTTTTCTTCGATAGCCGGTTGCATGGTATCATTATTATCAGTGTTAACTACTTCTTGTTCGTTTTGTTGTGAATGTGGTTGAATAGAATTATTCAGATTATTATAATTTAGTTTATTTTGTTTATTGTTTGTCATTGCAGCCTGTTTTTGTTCTTCACTAAACGTTAATTCGCCTGATTCAAGTTCCCAAGCATCTTCGAACTTCAATTTTAACGTTTTTGCCAGTTCAACAGCATTTTTAAGTGATTGAAATTCATCTCCTTCTTTTATTTGGTTTAGTGCATCGTCTCCAAGTTTTTTAACTTTTTTTCTTACAGATTTTACAGCTTGCATACCCTTGTAGAAAATTTTTAAGGTGTCTAACGTATCATCGCTTACTATTTTTCCATGGCTATTCAAAGAGTTATAAAAGGTTTTAAACTCATCCTGAGCTTTTCTTTTTTTTGCATCATAATTTTCACATAATTTTTGACTATCTAAAGATGTTTCAAGAATTTTATCCGCCAACTTACTGACATCATATCGATTACCAAATGACTTTATTACACGGTTTACTAATTGTTTTCTTTTATCAACTGTTATTTTCTTGATAATTTCTAATTCATGACCCAAATTTTCATATCGTCTAATGTCAGTAAATGATTTAATTGATTTAAATGTATCTCTGAATCGTAAAGCTGCTTGTTGTATTAGCTTTCTAATCAATACAAGTTCATTAGATGTATGGGATGCCTGACTTTTTAAATCATTTGCTAAACTAACTATGTCTTCTGTTGTTTTATTTGGTTGAAACAGTTGTGTATCAGTTAAAGCTTTGGTTTTCTTTAAACCTTCATTGAAATTTGTAATTGATTGTTTACATTGTACTGATATATCAGGTAATTCAATTTGAGCTTCTAAATCAGCTAGATTTGTCCATTCATCATTTTCCAGAGCAAGTGCATTCTAAAAATATATAAACATGATTACGTAAATTAAGCAGGTATAGGCGATAGTATCACTATCATAAAATAAGTAAGTATGTATTTTACTATTCAAATTTTAGAATAATTTACTATTTATATAAATATGATGTAACACGATCATCTGACCTTTAAAATAAATTATGTTCCGTTCAAATATTTAAAGAATATTTTACTTGTAATAATGTAGAGCATTATGCTTTGGTTCCTTTATTTTATACATTTTTTTATTTTTTTAAAACTATAAATATACAATTTAAATTCCTATTTGAATATTTGTTTTTGCAAAATTTAAGATAGTAATTTTTTAAATATATTTTGTAATAAAATTTGAAATTGAAAATATTTACTAATTTTGAATTGTTAAGTTTTAATAGTTCTTTTAAATTACAAAAAAAAAAAATGTTTTCATTAAAAATGGGTGAAGCAATTATTTGATATTACTTAGAAGTGGTAATTTAAATTATTGTAGTTTTAAAAGAAATTGTAGAAAATTAATGATTCATCACTTGTAAATATTTATGCCACCGAAAACTTATTTTAAAATAGTAGATTTCTAAAATGGTTATATGTTTTGATTATGTAAAAAAAAAAATTTAGATTCTAAGCCATTTATTGAGATGTGTTTTTTTCTGTCTGTAAATAACTTTTTTACCAGCAATTTTGCTCAGATCAAAAAATGCCTAGAGATCTTTTTTGTATCATTTTTGATCCAATTGGTGCATTAAAAAAGTAAGATTTCGATTTTCAATGCATTTTTTTAAAATAATCAGGAAATAGGATAGGAAATACTGAAAAATATACGGCATTGAACGTTTCGTTATTATTGATTCTGATTTTTTGTTGTAATTAGGGTAAATCTACTCATAAAGTTTTCACAGAAAATGTACTTATTTTCTAGATGTAACTTAGTTTTTAAAACATTCTGGCGATTTTTGATCTATTTATGAGCATTTGGTACTTTTAAAGATTTTTAGTTGTTATTTGTTAAGTAAGTATTGTGTAGATAAAATTATTTGATTCAAAACAAAAATTTTAAAATCGTTGATGTTCATTATAGACTACACGTAGTATGTTTTTATAAACTTTTGAAGATAGAAGAATAAGAATACGTATAACTGAACTTGCTCTGAATCGTATTTTGTTAGCAATGGTTTATCGTTGCTTACAAATATAAATTAAATACCTTTATGTATCCTAACTTTCCAATTTCTCACCTACAACTGTGACACATCTAAAAATAGCATTGGCTTTTTTATTTTAAATTTAAAAAAAATATAAAATAAACGAAGGTTCTAGGTAGTATAATAATTATACATAAATATTTATAATATATACACATCTTATGAATTACTACAAGAAAAAATAAACTTAAAAAATTTGAACAGAAAAAATTATTTTAGTTTTAGATCTTTGTGTTACAATCTGAATGTAAACAAAAAAAAAAAATACTTTTATTAATATTGTATTATTTTAATTTTAAAAAAGTAAAAATTGAGTTAATATTATTTAATTTAAAAGCACCTAAATTATTGTATCAAAAGGATTTTTTTACTTTTCTTTCTTGATTTTATGTTTTTATCACATTTGTTATAATACAGGAGATGTCTAAGTTACTTTTTAAACAAATTTTTAAATTTGATTGACATTCGATGTCCCACAGACAGTTTTCATACAGTCATGACCAATGAGACATATTCGTATTTTTAGTTTTCATGTACCTATATTGAAGTACTTTTATAAATCGCATACTATTCATAAGACAATGAAATTAATTAGTCAAAAGTTCAAATCTTAATTGTAATAATAAAATTAATTATAAATAACTATAAGTTTATTATAAAGATAAAGTTATTAGCTATGCCTCAAAAATAGTATATATTACACATGCGTTATACCCATTATACCTGTCTAAAGAAGAATTGATTATCCGAGTGAGAAGTATGATCACTTTTTTTTGTACTGAATGTTATTTCTTATTTAGAAAATAATCGATATACAATGTATATGTAATGTGCGATATGTTAACGTACACATCTACTTATTGTGATCTAGGTATAACGATTATCTCGGAAGATTTTAGGTAAACAGAAATCTTTGGCTCATGATAAGTTGATCACCATGTATGTCGATCTACAATAATCCTTGTTTAAACCGATACCTATTTATATTTTTAATTTTAAGAGCTCCAAAGAATTTTATTGTCATAACGTTCAATTTCTCAATACAAAAAAGTCACTTTTGTCTAATGTTTTCAGTATTTTCAGTATTAAAACCTTTTTATTATCTTTATTAGTTCATTGGTCAACGGAATGGGTACGTATCATACGTCACACGGTACGAAAAATTATACAAAGTATATTTCTCTGACTAGAAATACATAAATATGTTTCCCTTGGATGTGTACAAATTATAACATTATGATTTTTGATCGATCTTTTTTACTTATTATTTTAGTATTATGTTTTATTATTCATATTTAAAATTATAATATTTCAGTATAACGCTTCTAATTGTGATTCAAAATTTATTTCTAAAAATTGTTTAGACAAAATATCAGTTATAATTTAATTGCGATTTTATTATTGGTTACTTATGTAATAACTGTAGTTCTGTTGTATTCCAATACGGTAAAATATGCTACCTTCTGAAGTTTCTATAGTTTTAATAGATAATATAGATTATAGTATTCTAATTCGTATTAGCGATTACATCAACGAAGTTTGGAAATATTACTAATAACGGAAAAATAAAGATTTTTTTGATACAAATACATCCCAGGGAGAATCAATTCGAGTTTTAAAAAAGGCATTGAAACTAAACTTAACGACAATAAAAATCTACTGAATATGAATATCGTAGTATCCAATTAGGCAAGGTTAGGTTGGGACACACGCCCCTTAGGTTATTTAAATAGATTATTGTAAATCCGAGTTGACAAGAATGCTTAAGCAGTCTAACATTGGTGTGATATAATAATATTTAGAAGTGCTATTCGTATAGGCGGAGAAAAACGTGTTTGAATTTAATATATTTACTATGTTAAGACGTTCACCTACCTGTATCAAACAGATTAATGCCACCGCTATTAGTAAACTGGACGACACTTTTAAGTACCACATTTTGAATGATTTGCGCGTACAGCTATAGACTCAAAGTCTACTAAAATCCTATAGAGCGTATTATTTATTATATATAGACGGTGTGACGAGACGGGTATAATAATATTGCAATTGTCTGTGAAACAATAATTATTGACTGTTATTATATTAGCTGTAGATATATATGATGTGAATTATATTGTGTTTTTTTGTTTTTGTTTTTTTTTGTAAACCATTTGCGGCGAATAAGAGTAACAAAAGATAGGCGACAAAAATTAGGTACTGTACGCGTACAGTTGTTATTTTCCCTATAGTAGTTTGTTTGACTTTTGCATAGTAATTAACAACTTGTGCAATTGTGCGTTAAATATCATGCCAGTGCTCGGTCGGAACGGAAATTTTCGTACGTACGTAACTTAAAAATAATAATAAGGCAACAATTATTATGAAAATATATTTGATATTTGTTATTTCAATCTGTTCTCTCGGCATGGCTAACTCGAACAGTAAATCAATAACACAGAGTTTAAAATCAAATTGGACCACGCGTTGGAACGTTGGGAATAAATCAACGATACATACTTGCGGTTTGCTTTCGAACGAATACGCGATTTGAAATCGTATTGAATTTTGAATATTTTATAAAGTGTAAGTGATCGTCGTCGGTAAAATACATATTTTTCAACACAAAAAAAAAAAAATCTAATCGATCAAACTGATAAACCTTTTGATGGTACCTATACTATAATGTTGTTTAACTGTCAATACTCATGTTTAACTCTTTAACTAATTACGAATGTATAAATCGACTGCCCCAAATCAAGGTAGTAATTCGAGTTATTACTGGTTATCTAGTAGTGGAATGTTTTCTCTATCGCCCACGAAAGAGGTTGTATCTCAAAACATCCACAGAGATTAGATATTTAATAATTGCATGATTTACCGCAACCTTGATTCCATCGAAAACAGCTGTATACGTTTGTTTCAACGACTAATATTTTTATTAAAAATGAGATAATACCTTTTTCGTTGGGGCAGTCGAAATTTAAACTTTTAATTTTGATATACACCAATGCTCGTTTTTTGTTAATTTTTTTTTCTCGATTCACATTTTTAATTCAGTTTTAAAATATTTCAACCAAAAATGTGTACGTTTTGTTAACGTATTAGTATAGAAAATACAAGTAGGTGTAATAGCATATTAATAACGTTCGTGTATTACACACAATTACCGTGATTCATTTTAAACCGGCGTGGTGTAAAATGTTGTTCATATAACGAGCGCCGACTGTCAATATTTCGAAATTATTTCAATTAATTATATTGCTATGTATAGTCACTAAAAGTCGATCGAGTAAATTTTGTTCTTGTAGGTAATTATACGAGTATAATTCTAATTTTACATTTAATTGTATGTAATTTATTGTGCGCCTGTGTTCAGGATTAAAAACGCAAATTATCGTTATATAGTATATTATATTTTATAGAAACAAGTTATGTCCTTTTAACTTTAGAAAAATGTGCAATATTCAATGGTTCGTTCGCCACACTATTGTGAAATTCATATAAATCCTATATCCGTTAAGTTCCAGTGTTGACGTGGATTCGGAAGAACGGAACAACAGGCAGGAACGCCAAATATCCAGTTTGATCGGACTGAAAAACTCAGTACAGCTGACAGGGATAATAATTGAAGAATTGGACGTGTATCAGGATGGTCTTGATGGTCGACGACCCCGAGAAGGAGAAAAACAAACACAGAAAGTTCCAATATTGTTTTTGAGAATTGGTTTTTTTTTTTTTAACAATTTTTATTTTGAATACATTTTTGTTTACATTTTTTAGCTCTTTGTATTTCCGAAACAAATTTAAAACATAAAAAAAAAAACACTGTTGTGGATTAGGTGCCTAAACGTACAATACAGAACAAACCAGGAATTGTCTCGTTAATCCTTACAAAATTTCAGGACTTTCAAAAATATCGTAAATCACGACATTTGGACCAATATTTACGTTATAATTTTGGAAACTCGGATTAAATGTCCAATAAGTCAAGCATTGTGTGATTTCTACCATATCGCGAAATAATAGGCGCGGGCGCGTGCGCTAAAATGGAGATTAAGATTTTGCTTACGATACTTTTGTTCAGAAAGTCAATTGGAGTTTTTTGATTAAGTGTATTTAATTGAAAAATATAAATTGTGCTCCCGTTAAAATTAAATAAGATTATGTAAGATAACTAATTGATTGCGTGCGTGTACTTTATACTTTATTAATAAATATATAATAGTACATTTATAAAATTCATCAAAAAAAAAAAAAAAAAATACTAAAAAATAAAGTTCTCTTAGTTATTATTATTTTTTTAAATTTATTTTAAATTATTAACTTTTTAATGAAGTCTATCCAAGTATGCAATGTTAAAAAACTAAATTATAAAATTATTAACGTGTGATACTACGACTACAATATATGATATACACCTACTAACTAGTTGTTTCGAATCGTATAGGTAATATTTGATATTGATCTGTTTTGAATTAGGTATTTAACATTCTATACAAATGTAATGTAAAATTTGAAATCAAAATTATCATAATTATTTTAACTTAATAAACAAATTAATTAATAAATAATTAAACAATTTTCAAAATTAATAATTATTGTAATATTAAACTGAGATCCGATATCGCCCGTCGCCGTTCTAATGTAATAATATACGAGTGTGGAGGAAAATTATAAATTAATAAGTATCGTTACATTGTTATAGTATATAAATCATATTATTAAAATAGTACATTGAAAAAAAAAAAAAAAATGAACACATAAATATAGTTCAAAGTTAGATTTAAACCGTAATTGTCTCGTTCATTGCGAAGAAGAAAAAAAAAAATTACAATCATTATGAAATATTATTATCGATATAGTGTTAGGTACCTCTATACCGAGCATTACTGATTATTTCATTATTTTATTATATATATATATATATATATATTTTATTTCTCATCTTAGAAAATCGTTTCGCGTGTTCGCCAAACCCGAAATAAATTATTACGTTAATGTTTTACCGATAACACCAGCGAACCTTGTGTAATATTCACCGAATCACTTTGGCCAATGCCTGTACCTTTATGATGAATCCGTTAGCTATTATATTAAGTGGGTTTCGGTTAGTAGATAGGTACTTTATGTTGTAATTATAAAAAAAAAAAAAGAAAGAAAGCTCAAGTCCAGTACAATCAGGAACTGTATTTAGGCTACTAGATGTTTCTTTATGGTTATTTCTGAACGTATCATATGGTAAAGTTCCACACACATACACACACAGTATCGGCTTGATCATAGACTATAGGCCGCGGAAGTGAAATAACAAAACATAATTGTATCATGATAGTTTATTATCAATAATCGTGCGAGCCAGTATTTACTGGCTAAATGTATACGTAAAATACTGAAAACTGGAATGTCGCTGATAATCGCTTTTGTGAGTGTAGCACATATATAATATATAATATGTAGTAGGTCAAGAAATCAAATGTTTTTTTTTTTTTTAGAAATACTATTGATCGACGATACCGATTTCTGAACGGAAGACTATAATTTATCGGAAATTATTCGCGTTGATGGTCTTAGCATTTTTCCTCTATGGGGAATTGGAGTCCATTAAACAAAAACGAGACACACATATGCTCACTTAGTCACCTAATTTAGGCATGAAGCAGCTTCTTCATAGGACGCCCGTCCAAGCCGCCACTGCTTATAACTACGAGTTACGACATTAATGATTTCCTCAAATAGACGTTAAAATATAGTTCATAAGCAATTGAGTATGTATATTGTTATTTTCCGGGCACTTTGAAAATAAATTTTGGCGTGCGGTACGGGGCCGTTGCGAAATATAGAATTCATTTAACTTTTATACTATAAAGCATAAAACACGTCATAATAATTTATATCATATACAATTATAACAACACCATCCGCCATAATAGTGTCGATCATAATGATTTATTATCACTGTGTCATCTGCGTAGGTATACAACTGACTGCCGACAGAAAATTACGTATGTACCTATATAATATTTATTAATAACAAACGTTACATCGCTGGCGATTTAGTGATTTTTGCAGACGCGCATAAATTATAAATTAACAGCGCATTCGCGTCGAACATTTTAGATTTATTTGATTTATTATTTTTACTGCGGACGCGAATACACCTGTAAATAGCGCCCGTATGCGATTAATATTGATCTACGGCCACCGACGATAAGAAAACCTAATTCGTTTTCTTTTTAATTAACCGTTATATGATTTGCGTTCGCCATTCGTATTTGTATACAGTAAATACATAAAGTTTGTCAAACCATTCTCACCAAAAAAAAAAAAAAAAAAAAAATAGTAAATAGATAAAAATACTCTATTGTTAAAACAATACCGTCTCAGCTACACATCATCAAAGCTAAAACATTGATCAGTTAACACAAACCACTCGGTAGTACTTATTTAAATTTAAAACTAAAATACAACAAATGTCTATTTCGTTATTATTTAAAAATTAAAAATATTAATATAGGTAATTAATAGTTATTAATAAAGATAAGCTTACTAAACCATGTATAAACATAACTGCATACACTTGTAAAAAATTAAAATAACGAATTATACTCGATGGCTGCTGTTCAATGCAGCCATAACAAAACTTTTATACATTATAAAACGTATACAATTGAGCGATTTTAAAATGCATGTTGTACACGTTTGTCGGTATTATACTCGTATATTTCAACCTCGGTTTTAACTAAAACATTTCACACTCACTGCGCTTGTTGTACATTTCATAGAAACATAACTCAGTATTCTGATATTATCCTCCATGACAACCATAGACACGAAGACAAAATAATAAAAGCTAATTATTTATGATTGTACGCAACGCAGTTACAAACAAATTATTGTTGTCGGAAGACTTTAAGTAAATGCATTTTTTGGACGAGCTGAGCATCTTTTATTTCATTTTTCTATGGGCACCGTATGCACCGTGCACGCGTTCATCAGTCACCAGTTTACCATCGGTTTCTAACGAACTTTCGATGGTTTCAACGTCGTCATTTCGATCGACGGCGGTGCACGCATTCGCATAAGAAACTGGCATGTACGACCGGCATAAACGATCTGTGCTTGATGCATAGGATATCATAGCGACTCCTACACGGAGAATATTATATTGTTTTGACCGCGAACAAAAATCATACGATTTATTATTATAGTGCATAATACGGAATGACGTCCATAATGGACGACGAGCGTCATTGCGTAGTCGGATTGAATTTTATATTTTGTGTAATATATTGATCCGAGAAAATGCTGAGAAAAATGATACGGAAAAGAGTGACGGTCGGTCGGACTGGAGAGGGTGCCGAAGAAGAATCCGTATACCAGTCGTCGGCTCGGACACGTCGTATACAGTCAGTTGCCGTTGACAACACACCCCGTATAATGTTATATACTATAACACTTAATAATACTTAATAATACTTACCTAAAATAGTACATATTTAGGTGTTACTCGATATTTTGAAGTGTGTTATGAAATAGACGGTGTTCGAATTAAAAAAAACAGAAAAGAAGAACTATGAGACTAAAAAAAGAAAAATTAGCGCCCTCTTGTAATAATTGAACTCAATCTTAACTAGTGGGAGGACATTTCACCCCTCGCGCCTTCTTTAAAACAAACGTTTCTGTCTGTCTACCACTTTTCTATCAAAAATATTGCTTGGTCATAAAACTTTCTTTAAAAGTTTCCGGTAAAAAATTGAGTTTACTTGATGCACTGGAAAGCTCATATTTTGATTATTTTTTACAATTTTCTTAGTAACGAGTTAAAGATAAAAACCGAAAAAACCGTCGGAAAAACTGGCATATTATTTACATAATAACGGTTTTTATTATATTCGTGTTCGGTTTTTCGTTGTGATTCATTGAAAAATAATTTTATTGACAAATTGTGGTGAACTTTCTTCGAATATTGGCCCATTACACACATGGTACACATTTCAAAACATTTTGGCAATTTTCGAGCTATTTAAAGCCATTTGAAACTGTTGGGTTTTTTAGTTTTTATTTGATTTAATTGGAATCGTTTTAGCATAGCGAAAATGTTCGAAAATTTAGTTGATGTTCGATGAAAATCAATAAGTACAGAAAATGACGGCTATCGCACGTTCTCGAAAATTTGTTAAACGGATAATTCTTTTTTCTGTTTCATTTGTCGTTACCGTAAATTTGAAATATCTAACAATATTATTTGTGGAAAACAATTAGTTATTTAGGTATAAATACACACCTAAATAACTTTAAATAGCAGTTTAAATAAACCTTAGCACGTGCTACGAGACACCCTGTGCAGTATACAGTATAACTACGGTAGGTATACGGTGAGACAATTAAAATATCGTTTCGAGTTATTACACTTATCACGCCGTGCCAAGTACCTACTTTCCCCTACAAGTTTCACGGTTACAACGTACTTATAAGCGGCGGCGACGGCGGTAAAATTTATACACGCGGATAAAACGTTTACAGTGATTTATGTTCGAATTTATTCTCCGTTCCTCATTCGAGTAGTCTGAACGCGCCTAGAAGGTCCACGGCATACGCAATATTATAATTATTACTATACAGGGTGTTTCGCGTCTGTTTATCATGCTAAAAATATAATATGCTCATGTCAATATTATCTTGGGCTATTTTTAAACTGTAATCGATTCACTTATCGTTTTATAAAATGAAAACAAGTGAAGAAAACCCGTTCCTCAAAACGTGCACAATTTTCGGTGTCGAAACAAACGTAATTTAAACGTTGACCCACATAATTCCATAGGCTTTTTTGAAAGAATTTGATAATCCAGTAAAAATAACTATGCTTGTCTGTAGAAACCTAAATAAATAAAAAACATTTTAATTTGTAAATAGTTAACAGGTGATTTTTAAAGTCCTTTTAGTAATACTTATATTTTGCAAACTATTTTCGATTCGGAGCGAGGAATGTATTGGTTTTACAATGGTGTTTATTATTTGATTTGTTATACTGTGTACACAAATGCTACCGGAAATTCAGCTCCGATATATCAAGCATAGCACCTTTACTGAAAAATTTTTTTATCTAGTTGGTGCTTTAAGAAGTCATTTTTAGGTGGTTTTTATAATAATTTGGGAAACCGAGAAAAAACATAGAAAAAACGGGAAAATTTACGAAAATAGTGCTTTTATTATTTTCAATTTTGTTATAATCGGTTCAAAATGTTTATTGAGACTTGCAATTTGAACGAAAAACTCATATTTACCTTTTCTAGATGTGGTGAAATGTTCAAAACATTTGTGTCCCTTCTAAACTATTTATAGACATTTAAATTTTGCAAGTTTTGTGTATAATTTTTATTCGGTAGAAACTCTGTAGATAAAATTGTTAGACCAGACAAAAATGCTTGAAAATTTAATAGAAGATTCATTATAAGCTGTACGTAGTGATCAACAAAAAAAAATTAAGTTTAATGTAGTATTTTTTTTTATTTTTATAAGAATTTCAGTACCAAATTTTGACGAAAATCGTAAATATTACGGCCTTTTAAAACATGTAGAACCAAACTTGGAACCAGACGAATTATTTTTTTGTTATCAATAATTAATCGTTGCATAGAAATATACATAAAATTGTCCTTTATATCCTACCTTCCCGACTTCTTACCTACAGTAGTGACCCAACCATCGTGCGAACTATGTCCGCCTTTTTTATTATTGACTTTATACAGAGTAATTTTTTGAGTACTTCAAGTAAATTTGATTTCTATTTCTGTATTTTGATATATCGTCATGCGATTTATTTTGAAGTTTATGTTTTCATCAACCATAACGTAATATAATGATTAAGGACTTTTAGTTAGAACATTTGAAATATGTATCTAATTTAACATTAAATTGAAAAATAAAGTAAAATCTCTGACACGTAAGATCAATTCTGTAATAAATTTAATTTAATCATAAAGTTAATTTTGTATATTATTTGGAAGAACACAAACCGATTAACATAAAATACGTGCAACGTGTAGACGACCAGAATTACACAGTAATTATAACCCAATTTATATGAATGCCGCGTGGTTTACGCCGAATTCAAGAACTTTGATCTCGGTTTAATCTGCTCGAATAATACAATGCGATGCGATAGGTGAAATCAAAGCGAACATTCGGAATATTACAGTTATAATATACGAGTATACAGACGAGCGGAAATGACAAACGCATTATAGCCTACAGGCTACAGGTTCCTTTATCAATATTATTTTCGCTTATTAATAATATGTATTATCGAACTCCATTAGTTTTTGTATTTAATTGAATATCCTGCTAGTGTATAGCGAGTATAGGTGAGTTTGTGTGATAAATCCAACAACTTTTAAGGCTCTTCCTATGGGTGGCGTCGACATAAAAGCGTAAGCGCATTAAACGTAAAGCTAAATTGAACGTCGAGATCTTTAATGGACGTTACTCACCGAACCCGAGAGTCATTAAAAAGATAAGGGTTATGGATATAGCGGAGCACGAAATCTACAAAACGTTTTGGTGTGGTGTTCTGTACGATTAAGAGCGAATCCAATTCGGAAAATCTAGAGACAGAATTCGTTTAGTTCGTCTCGCAATACGGAACAGTATTCTACAAACTTAATTTTCTGTGTAAAATCTTAATGTCGTTGGCACAGAGCAAGAAAGTCCTCTACACTGCATACATAACTGGGGATAGAGTTGACAAAAGAAAAAAAAAAATTGATAACAATGTGTACCGATAATTTTTTGAAATTTATCGTACAATCAATGCTCAGAAACGTGCCAAAAACTGAACAATTTAGTGATTTTTTATTTTTGTTGATATTGTTATCAATACAGAGAAACCAATGACTTCTTCAAAGTTTAGTCGCATAGATAATACGTTTGCTGTTGTTTATTTTAATTCGAAGATTATTTCTAGAATAACATTTGTATACATTTATTTTCAGAATCGGCTCGTTTTCAAGTAAAAACAAATGATTGGATTATAAAATTATATACTTTTATTAACACTGACAATATAATTTAGTTATTATACATAAGTCAAATAATAAACACAATTTCGAATCGAATTTAACGAATCTGAATAAATATTCTATAATAGGCGAGTAACTAATTTATATAATAAAAATAAATAATAAATAAAAAGTATTAATCTGTATACAATACTATAAATTTGAAGAGGAATACTCCGATATAGTCGCATATAATTGTGTTTAATCGAATTAAACTCAAAAGGATTCAATGTTGAAGTAAAAAAAAAAAAAATGCGTGTAATGTGAGTTGTACATTTTTGTTTTTAAGTAAATCAATTGTTTGTTAAAAATCGTCTTTAACTGACAAGACGGAATACTAATGAAAAAAAAAAAATTACAACCGTACTTCTGTCGATTCGCTGTCGATCGTCGTCAGAGCCGTTGATTCGCCGATTCGGCGATCTGCAACTGTTGCAACCGGTGCTGATGCAGGCTGAACCCGTTTTCGGCGGTCATGCACAGGTACGGCTGGCGCGCCGGGTTGCTGGCCACGGCCGCCCGCGCGGGCTGTCGGTCCGGCGGCGACCCGTACGAGACGGGCGCGTCGTAGAACGCCGGGTTGTACACCACCGTGGCCGACATGGACTGTTTGCGTCTGGCCGCCCGCACGGTGGCCATCAAACCGCCTCCGCCGCCGGCCGACGGCCGTAAATCGGCCGCCTGCAGCTGTTGCGGGCCGTCACCCGCGCCGCCGTCGTCCGCGCGGGCGGCCGCGGCGGACAATTCGGACGTCGACCTGTACACGCCGGTCAGCCCGTCGTCGGCCGCCGCGGACGGACGGACGGCCGCGGACGAGCGGTTCATCCGGCCCGCATCCGGCCGGTGCCTGCGCCTCTCCTTGCTGATCTTCCGGATGTCGTCCAGCACCGGGCCCTGTTTGTCTTCCGGTAACACGGAACACATCTCCTGCAACACCTCCCGGCCAAAAAAAAAACACCGTACGGATATTAATTCTCGCGTCACGATCGCGCCGCGAGTCTTCGGTAATCACATTATATTATATTATTATTATTGTTATTATTGCGGCCTTACGTTGTTTCGTAATATAATTGTATAGACGTCGTATACGAAAAAAAAAAAAAAACCACCCAACCCGTTTGTCACGTATTTAATGAGAACGTAGTATTTCTCTCGTTTCTGCTATACCGGATTGACCGTATTACTACTACCGCATTGACCGTACGTATTTTATAATATTATCGTGTATATTGACATCCTATAGAGCAGCGTTTCCCAACCTATGGTTCGCGATCCATTACTGAGTCACGAAATATTTTTGATTGGTCAGATGAGAAAGAAACATTTTTTGATTATAAGACAATAAAATAGAAAACATGAAAAATATATTAGTAAGAATAATAAGATAATAAGCAAATGTGAAAAACCGAAAAAAAACGGGGGGAAAAATAAAAATGTACAAAATAAAGGTATCGGTTAAAAAAACATTACAGCCTTTTTTTCCCCCGTGAACAGCTTTTCTACGAGCAATTTTTCTCCGATTTATAATGATAGCACTTTTTCTGAAAGGAAATCCGAAACTTGGAAGGTACTTTAAGAAGGTCATTTTTCGATTTTCCCAAGAGTTTCCCAAGCAAATGTGGTAAACCGGGAAAAACATAGGAAAACCGGGGAAATCAGTACAATATTTAACAAATATTTATTAAAGAAAATATATTATACCCTATTTAATTATTTTACTATAATATATATATATTGTTTAAAAAGCATTACTATCAACTGAACTCCGTTCAGAATTGTTTTTTCGTTAGTAATGGTTCATCGTTTCTTACTCATATACATTAAATTCCCTTCTGTATTCTACCTTGCCATCTTCCCACCTATGACAGTGGCTGCACCCCCATTATCTTAGGGCAGATTTTTTTAATGTGGGTCGAATACCCGAAAAAGAGTAAATGTGAGGGTCGCCTTAACAAAAAGGTTGGAAACCACTATAGAGTATTATATTAGACGACAATTTCGAGTAAATTCGATTTTTCCGGGTTGTTATAGAAAAACAAATCGTAAACAAGACGTTCAACACGATTCCACGCGACGAACCAAACTCAAATTTAAGTGACTTGAAATCTTCGCAGATAATGTGTAAAAGATGGTATAGCAGAATATTTTATTACGCATGACTATCATGATTTATCGTCGAACACTTATTATTTTAAAGAGTATCGATTAAAAAAAAAAAAAAAAAAAAAAAAAACAGTGTGTGCACTATGTGCGCATATTTGAAGTGTAATTCCTAGCGCTTAACAGCTAGATTAAATTGTATTATTTTTGATAAGGACTGAAATGAAATGCTTATAGAATGGCATAAAATACTGTTTGTATACGAATATTGTAATATTTTTCAGAGTCATATCCGACTGATAGAATATTAGAATGTGAAATAAAATAAAATCCATTTGAAATTAGTTTAATTTACTATTGTAATTATTATTTTTCTTGTTCTATTGTTACGAAAGATATAACCGGCTTATGATAACTGAATAATTAGCCGTGACACTTTCATTTACATTGTGCGTATGTGTGTGTTGATGGAGGGAAAAATCTGGATTTCGAATAGTTCAAAAATCTGAACTCTTGGATTTTAATCCTGACCGATTTAATTCGCTCACGATATGTCATTGTTCGCATACACATAAGCAATGTATATATTTAACGGATGATTAAAATACAATATTTCGGTGTTGACGTTTTGCGATTTCCGTCGACGGCGCGTATTCCAGTTTTTCAGTTTGGATAGAGGGGTGGGGGGGGAATGGAGAGAAATAGTATATCGGAGCGTGATTCGAGTGGTTCGAAAACTCAAATTTTTAAAAAAATCGACGCCTCTCGAAATAACGAGTGTTCCTCGATCAAACAACAACTAAAATCGTCCCGTGTAATAACATATAGTTTTTAACGGGACGGCCGACAGACGGGAAACAAACGTACCGACCCGGACATTTGAACCGAAAATAGTACGCACGAAAATATCGGTAAATAATTTATTATTGTGGACAAAGTATTATGTCGTGGGTTTTCGTCCGTTCCACTGCAGTAGCCGGTCTCGTCAGTGCAGCAGTGCGCACAGATTACCTTTCGCCGTCGACTCAAAAAAAAAAAAAAAACCCTTACGGATAATTCGCTGATGCGGGGAAAAGAGAAGAACATCCGCCGACTGTTTGCTCGCCACAGTCCCGTGCAGTGTACGAGGGCCAATCGAAAAGTACCGAGACTGGTAGTATCGCTAGGATACCGAGCATCGGAGAACAGTAGGATTGGTATCACTACTTACCTTCTATGACCTTTTCTGAGTACATTTGTTTTTTATCGATTCCCTGTAAACTTCTTCGGGTTGATTTCACCGATATTTTTGTAAAATGTATTTTTCGAGTTGGGCGATTTTGTAACGAACCCAAATGAGAGCGACTCGACAGTTTTGGAGATTTTGGAAAATCTGTCTGCATTTTTTTTTCAATTCCAGAGAGATGCAAACATTCCGTGGTTAATATCAATAAATTTTAATTGAAAAACTACAGACGCGCCGTCGAGTGGCAGCGAGTTTCGCTTCTTTTAAGTTCATTACAAAATCGCCCAAACGTGAAAAATATATTTCAGAAAAATACCGTCGAATCGAAACGAAGAAGTTTATAGTGATTCTACAAGAATAGATGTGCTCAGTAGAAGTCATAGAACCCAGGGATACAAATCATTTTGCTCTTCAACGCTCGGTTTCCGAGCAATATTATCAGTCTTGATATTTTTTGACTAGCCCTCGTACACTTACACAACGTACGCGTGTTTAGATAAAATACGAATATGAGAACCGGAAAAACTCGTAAAAGTTTCATTAAAATCGTTTACCGAGTAAAAGCGCCAGCCGCTTTCGAATCTATACCAGTATGTATACAATATACAGAGCGATTCTTTTGTCATCGAACGCTGATTATTTCAAAGGGTATTGACTTTTTTCAAATATTGTTACATCGAAAAATTCGAGAAACAAGTACCTAACCCTATAATTTCCGTTATTTGAATGATAGGGCAGGTGTCGAACGATCTTCAAACGTTAACCCGCATTAAAAATTCCATAAACAGATCCGCAGAGTATTAGTCTAAACACATTTTGACGTCAACATTTTTAATTTCCGTCCACTCGTTGACGAGATATTCCGCTCTAAGTTTCGGTATCGTAGAATAGCGGAGTTCTATTAATTGCCGCTCTACTGCCCTCACAAAACTTAAATTTGTAATATCTTGTTAGGGAGTGGACGGAAATCAAAAGTGTATCAACACCAACATTTAATTAAACTAATACTCTAATTATGTATAGGGAATCTTTTTTTTCAATTTTTACTATAGGTACCCACGTAGTCGTTTCACGTTAAAAAAACAAGGGTGAAAAAAAGTTAAAGTAACTCTCCACCGCTGGTTATTTCATAAATTGTCAAAAAGAAAAAAAAAAACGTTTTCTAAAAGAGTCAATGCTTTTTGAAATACCGATTATTCAACGAAAAAAACAGGGTGATTCGATTCTGATCGGATGACAACAATCGAATAAGGACGGATTCGGACCGAAATGGGGTTATCGTCCGGGAAGACGCGGCCGTACCTAATACAATATCCCAAGTACCGAATTCCTACACTTTTCGAACAAACTTTCCAGACATTTTAATTTAAATATAACTCGAATTTTCTTAAACCTAATCGCCCTGTATAGGCACACCCAAGCTTTTAGCGCCGGATAGTCCTATTTTGTTTTCCGCCGAGAATCGAATCCCGTCCCGGAAATTTCCTGAAATATCCGAGCCGTCAAAAGTTTTTTCCTCGTGTTTTAAAAACAAATGTCAAACGCTTTGTCTATATATATATATGCATATTTATAAGTTCTTCCGACTGACATATTTCGTATAGCCGTTCGAGTGAAACATCGCACTCTATACCGTTAGTTCCGCAAAGGAAAAAAACGACAAAAATACCGACTTTGCGAGCAGCGGATTTTCGTACACAATGTATCCATTCGCCGAATGTCGTTTCTCAGTATTATTGTGATAGTGCGCGAAACGCTTTAATATTAAGTGCTTATATTCATTTGCACAATGGATATCGCGAAAGCACCGCCGGTCGTGATTAAAAAACAATTCCGTACAATAATATTATCGGGCAATTTCGTCGGTATAACGGTCGGCCTCCGTGTTTCTCGGGTTTACGGATTTTATCGATTTTTCCGTCTCGAAAACTTTTAAGTGGTCGAAAATGTGTCGAAAAACAAACCGAGATAGGTACCTATATATATTATATATTATCGTATATAGGACTGTCGCAGTAGCATCTCTGCTCTACGGTACTGTCCGATATTTCTGAGGTTAGATATTTTCCGTTAAGTTTTGTAATTTCCTTCGGAAAAATATACGTTCGATTTTATAACGTTTTATCCGTTTCAGATAAAAGAAAAACAAACATTTCTATATAGCATTGCGCATCGTACGATTAAAATTCAATCGTAGAAATTGTAAGTTAGAGAGTCAGTTTTAACGTCGAGGGTTCTAAGCCGGACGAGCTGAATACGTAAAATGATGTTGGGAGTCGTGGGAGTTAGTGACCCTCCGACATTTCCTGCATTTCTCCTAAAAAAAGGCCACGCAGGAAAAGATTTTCTCGTTTTCCTTGATTTATTTTATTTTAAAAATGTACGAACTGTATTATCATAAGCTTATTCTATATTACCGTCGATAAAAAATAAATGTAGTGTTAAGCGAGAGGCGTTAATTTTGAACTATCTGACAATTTTTGATTTGATACCCCCATACAGAAAATCATCACACCAAGGATACTTGACATCAGTGGGTAGATCACTGTTGTAGATGGAAAATGAAAAGTCATAGAATGTTGGGTAGTTTAGTTTATATAATGAAGGCAACGATTAATTTTTGTAATCAAAAGTCGATTATGAACGGAACCCGGTAACCCGAGAAGGACGTATGATAAATGAGTAGTGATTGTTTCCTTCGTAGCTGAGGGAACCCAGAAATCGATAACCGATTTATCGTGGTTTTTTTTAGAAAAATTGTTGGAAATCTTTTAAGTATTTCCAATTCAGGACTGCCACCGGCCGAAAACTCCGCATCTTTTAAAGTACATTTGTACTTGTCGAAAGTCTTAACCGACTAAACCAAAAGATTATAATAATATTATATGCTCGACCTTCGACTCCAGGGTCACCGAATTATGTGATTTTTCGGTAATTTATGCAAGGTTCAGCATAAAAAAAAACGTGTGCGCGTTACATTATAAAAAACATATGTTTCGTTTTGTCGTAACTGCGCTCGGTTTAATTTGTACTTGGCGCGTTTATGTGAAAAAAAAAAAACAATAAAATAAAAAAGCCAAACAAACTAATCTAAAACGTTTTGAAACGATACAATAAGCAAAATGCATGCACCTAACATTCTCGTTTTCGTCAATAACACCGCGTGTATTTTTATCAGACGAGAGATTGTCCACGATTGTGTGTAGCGCCCATAAAAATAAATATTATAGTCTTAACGCGAGATTCGCAAGAAACGTATTGAAAATAGTTGTTTTTTATTCAATAAATTTCACCTAACCTAGTTTTATTTATTTATACATAAATAACCCATCCGTTACATGATAATAATAATTATAGTATCTTATTATACAGGTACAGTGTAATACCTCTATGACACGTTGGTAGATATTCGTTCTGAGAGAAACGATTAAATGTATTGGTTTTACAATGATATTATGTTTTTACTATTGTGTTTGTTAATAAATTATCTACTAGCAGTACAATCGAAAATCGTATAGGAAATAATTTACATTGTTGATCTAATTCACTGAGGATGCCAATTTTTGTATTCTTTAATTTTCTTAATAAATGTGGAGAAATAAGTAATTTTTTGTAAAATTTTTGTCGATTTTTGCTTTACCATATGTCAACAACAGAAAAATACGACTAATAATACACTATACACTGCACAAATAATAAAATCGTTTTTCGTTAGCAACGATTTATCTATAAATTAAACTACTCTTTACATCCTCCTTTCCATCTTTCAACCTAAAACGGCGGCATAACCATCGGAAGTAATATCGGCCTTTTTAAATTCTGAGCGTAGCGAAAAAGCTAACATAATTTCACTAAGAAACGTGTGGGTTTATCGCTTCAGAAAATGTATTTTCGATTAGTAAAAACGCACCGAATCGTTCGCGTGCCGTACCTTATGCCGGACCGTACCCGATGCGGGGTTTTCACCCGGCGATATTTTATTCGAAATCGAATTAAATTTTTTGTTTAAATAACACGGTCAATATCCGAACTAGACGTATATTGACGGTTGGTGTGACCACTCACTGTGTACTTCTGTAAGTTTATCAGGGCATTGACGATGTTGCCCAGCACCCGGTGATTGCTTCTGTATCTGTTCGAGGCGATCGCGGACGTCATGGGGCTCTGCCGCTGTAGGAGTGCGTACGAGGTGACGGTCGTCTTCGCGGGACCGCCGCCGTCGTTTTTCTTGTCGTCGTTTACTGAAGTGTTATCGGCGTCCAGAAATGACATGCCTGATGCGAGACGACGTGGACCAGAGGGCGCGTATGAACCGACAAAAAGAAAAAAATCCCGAAATCAATTTACGACACATAAAATACACAAACGACGGGAATCGTTTCGCTGCAATGTGTATATTATAGAGGTTATGAGTATAGGCTTGGTTAAGTAAACATTGTAGGGGATGGCGCTGGTCACTTCGCTGATCTCCCTCTCCTCAGTGATATAATATCCTAAGTTAAGCGAGCCCGCCTCCGCGAAGGAGAAAACAGGATTTCAAAACCATTCATTTAACTTTCTTTAATAAACGATGGCAGCAGTGGGGAAGTATTGTGAAAACTGAGCCCTCCCTGCTGCCGGCGCTAACGAAGAAGAAAAAAAAAAGGGAAAAAAAAGTCACGAGTTGTAGGATGTATTATTTGTATTACTTTTTCAGCTTATTGCAACGCCTACGTAATTGTTTTTTTTGTGTGAAAAAAGCGGAAATTATGTAACGATAAAGTCGGTAGTGACATTTTTATTTTGCTTTTTTTGACACGTTAAGAATATTTTCCCTCTTCCTTTGACGTTTTAAGTAATTTCCGTATTTTTCTGGGAGATTTAAATGTATTGTTCTGATGATTTTTTTTTTTTTAACGCGTTAAACTTCTCGATCCCACGCAGTTTAAAGGTGCACGCGGATTGTGCGGTAGAACGTTTTAAAACGGACGAAACGTCGTCACGCTTCCACCCACCTCTGACCGTTTTGAATTTATTGGACACGGTGTCCACGCGGGCAGAACTGCGTTGTTGTCTGTCCGCGGCCCGGCCCAAGCTCCGGGAAGCGAACGTTTCCTGTTCCGGTTTTGGCAACGAAATGATGAAACGGCGCACGTCCCCCGGGCCCGGCGTGCATATGATGTCCACACCATCCTGGAACTCCACGACGGCCAACAGCATTCGATCGGCCCACGACCAGCCTGGAAAACAGTGGTTAGGTCAGCAGTCGTTTTTAACGCTCTGTGCAATCTCAACGGTTCCGTTTACATAATTTACGAAACAGTAATTTCAAAATGTGAAAACGAAGGGCTCAGCACAAACAAACAAGGCAAGTCCAAAATTACGTATCGACAGTTTCGAGTAAATCAGTGAATTCTTCAACAATAATGCAATGCTGTCTATTAGATACGGAAAACATAGTGACAAGGCCAATCGAAATTCCGGACAAAAATAAATCAAGTCCCGAAGGGATGGGTTTTTCATTCCCTTAAACGATTCCGACACGTGTACTTGTTTTCGATGTTGCACCGGTCCCGTAAATTTTTATTTTGGATTTGTGACCATTTTTAGAGCAACTGAAACCGGTATCTAAATAACGATTATTACCTTTGTGTATGGCGTCCAACAGCGCGTCGGTGGGCCGCACGTCGTTCCGGCACAGTAGTCTGGCGAACGCACCGAGCGAACGCAACTCGTCCCGGTCTCGTCGACGTCGCCACTCGTCCAGGTGCCAGCAATTCCTATGCGAGGCGTCATAGAGCTGCCGCAGGAACAGCGTCAACGGCGGACCCAGGCCTCGGCGGCCTCGTCGCCCACAGCGCAGCGACCGCGATAACCGTGTCGGCGTGGCCGCGGCCACGTGCAAGCGGCCCAACACGAACCGCACCAAGTCCGCATCGCCGACGATGTCAGCCGCCACGGCGTCCGTGTACACGTCACACAGCAGACGGCGTACCGCTTCCGGCCCGTCACTGACGGCGGTCTGGTGTGACCGTCGCCCGCGTCGTCCCGTGAGACAGCGGCCCCGACAAACGCCACCGGCAGCTTGGGCGGCTTTCTTGTCCGCGGCTGCCGTTGTCGGCGCCACCGTCCCGAAACACGACGACCGTTTCTTCCGGACGTCCTTTTTGCGGGCCGCCCCGTAAACGGTGAGCGCCTGTTCCACGACCACCGACACCAAATACGACGCGTCCAACCCGATCTCGTCACACGCCCCTATTCCGCCGCTGTTCCGCGGAATTTTTTCTTCGGTTAAAAAGTGCCAAGCCGACGACGAATCCGCCGCCACCTGTAACCCAACCAAAACTCAACGGTCAAATTCAATTTAAAAGTACGAAACCCCAGTAATTAAGATAATTTCGATAAAATGACAATTTCGACACTTTGAGAGTTACCCAATCTAAATCGTAATTTATTTCCGGCAGTAATTTTAATACAGTTGAATAGTAAAATAAAATTATAGAAAGATGTGAAATTTTTACGAAAATTATATAAAAGAAAAAAATAAAAAAAAAAGACACATTTATAGTAGAAAAAACAAAATAAAGTATATTTCATTGCAGAATGCGCCAAAAGTATTTATATATTTGAATCGTCTTTCCTATCTGCACAATCCCCTCAAAAATAACATCCGTATACAAAATCCGGGCCCGAGTTTTATCAGTCTTGGTCGCCGTCTCTTCCGTCTACATTTCTCCGATCGGTCGTTCGAATACAACGCAATCATCATCGTTTGGATGTCGAATATTATACTATTGCTATAATAATTTTGCAGCCCTATTTTTCTATTGTTACGTGTTTTCGGCCCGTATGAAATGTTATATAATTGCCCCCAAATGTCATGGGTCCGTGACGTTTGCCCGCCTTGTCCATTGGTATTTACGCCACTGGATGGTCACCTCTACTGGAGTAGATCAGTAGATCCTATTACCACGCATAATTGTTACCGTGGCACACGATTAGCACGATAGTACCATAACGGTATCAATGCGATCGTAACGTCGCGAAACTAATGGTGAACAGACGGTGTACGGTATTGAAATTAGTTTTTGATATTCTTTTATTTTTTTTTAACGAAAAGTATCTCCGCGCATAGCATTCGAACATTAAAATGTTAAGTGGGAAGCGACGGAATAACGTTTTTTTTTATTCTCTCATTTCCGCGAACCAAACAAGATATTAAACGGACGGCCCGGCGCGAATGGGGTGGGCGAGAAATCGTCCCGTTCAAAACGTTCGCGTCCCTATCGGAAAACCGAAACGACGTGACCCCCCCCTCCCCGGATAATACTATTGTCGATTCGAAATCCGTCGAAACGTTTCGACCGTCTCGTGCAGTCGGTTAAGCGGCGCGTCGACAACTCAATATTGTACGCGACGCACGTGTTACTATGCGCACCGCCGTCACTAATTTGTTGTCACCGTCCCGATCGAAAATCGGACGTCCACATCCGGGGTCACGGTCGGAGATTTACGGATGTGGCCGTGCCCGCGCCGCGTCGTACCGTCAACGGGAACCGCGCGCCGGTGACGTTGCGCGCGATTTCCCATTGCCACCGGCGGTCAGTCGGACAATTCGGGCACGCGTGGGCAGCGGCGCATCCAGCGGGGGGCACAGGGGCCCATATACATGAACGCGTACATTCGCTAAAATGTCTGTTGGTTTATGGTTGTGCGGACAATATTACGTGCTAACTTAACGTGCCGACTAAACGCATTAACTAATTATTCGCATCAAAAACGTTAAGTAATTAGTTGATTTTTTTTTTTTTTTTGGTAATGCGTTTGGTGAAATTTTAGATAGTGTACGCCACTGCGAATGGGTAACAGAGTGGTTAGAGCTCGGAAGTATTGTGGGATTTGCATATTGTTCTGCACGTGCCCTCGATTTATACCAGACCGAACCGGAAATCCGTTCGATACAACGGAGAGTTTAAAAAATCGAACGTTTAGAACGCACGATTCGCATAATGTTCCATCAACTGCAAGAAAAACGTGCGCGCATTTCATCGATTTCGATCGAATTTCGCGTACGCATATTATTGCGCATACTCGTTGAATATTTTCTAAAAAATTTCATTTTTTTTTTCTTTTTCAACGCATGCGTTTAAAATAATAATATTGAATGCAAAGTCAAGTATTTATTTAGGTATTTATATTGCCGCCGTGCGTATAGTTGTAGTTCCATCTCTGTTGCGGTCAGCGTTCTATTATTCATTGTATTTGTCGCGTACTGTTGATTTACACGCAACAAACAAACACGAGTTACAGTAAATCACAAATTGCATAACAGTACTGTAGCGCGTATTATTTGTTTTGCGTATTAAAAATTGTCCGTGCGCATATTTTATAGATTCGAACGCGCCATTTCGGTATTTCGCGTGCATATTTGCGCCCGTTTATCGTGTGAAATTTACTTGCCGGCAATTTCCGAGCCGTAGTGGCAATAACAGCACAACGTTGTTGTCGTTCGTTTCGTTTCGGAGACCGATGGGCCGAACGCGGGCCGTCGTCCGTGACGCGCGCGCCGCCTACGGTATCGATGGCTATCGTGCGTGCGGGTCGGGCGGACGTGCGCATTATTCGGACGGACGGTGTTCGTGCAAGAGGAGGACTCGGGTCGAATTCACAATCGCATATTTTCATATTGTCGACGTTTTGTGCGCGATTACGTGCCGCGTCTATTGGTCGGTGCCACTAGTGTTTGAACGGACGCAGAACCGTTGTCAATGCATTTAATATGCGTATAGCCGTCAAGGACGCCCGGCGGCAAGAAATCGGGGGTGGGGGAGAGAGGACAGCATTAATTTTATAATGCATTATGTGTGTTTTCGATAAACGTTTTAAAGGCAATACAATATAATATTGAACTCGTGCATTTATGGAAACCTTTTGAACACAAATTGCGATTTTATTTCGTTTTTCCCAAATGTTTCTGCTAAATCAAGTTCTTCGACTTTTTTCCTACGTAAACTTAACAAACATAAGTCGGATAAACGATTTTCACGCATTAGATGACCGCAAGTCCACAGCTGTCCGCAAAAAATATTCACAGATGATCGTCTGTAGTGGTTGGTACCGACTTCAAATCGTACGGCATAAACCATTGAATATTGTGAAAGTAAATTAGTGGAATTACCGGAAAGTGTACCTACCGACTAGGTACCGATTTATCAATACACCTTGGTACCAATTGTGAATTTTGGAATTATAAGATGTTGGGTTTGGATATTATATAACGGAAGTATAATTATTTTAACTTACTGGAAAGCTAGGGAGGGAATCGCCTCCCCCCTTTCTTTCGGGCGCCCTTGCCGGTCGTGATACCTAATTAAATTTAGTTCGTGATAAAGCGCTCAAGCCAACGATATATTGTTCTTAGTGTAAAAGTTTTTCGACTTGATCCCTTTTGCACAAACACCGTCCATTTGTACACGGAACATTCTGGGTGTATTATTTGTCGTATCGCCTTGTTCGAAAACTAGCTGGAAACGGGACAACAACAACAAAAAAAAAGCCGCCGATGGGCGTGCCACTGTTTTAGTAGAGGAGTGGATTGTAGTAATTTAATTTATATCCGTACGCGACGACGGACCGCCGATGAAGAATAACGATCGGGAGCCGAGTCATCGTATTAACCGTGTGTTTTCCCTTGTGGCAAAGGTAACACAGACATCAACGTAAATCGTTCACTTCGACAAACCGACCGAATCGAAAATCGTTTAATCGAGTTTTCCATTCGAGCAAGATTTCAGGTAGTTGTTTACAGAAAGAGCAAATGTTAAAATATATTTCCTATAGTAAAACAAACACATTCCTGGTTTCGTTCAGAATCGAAAATGATTTGTCACGAATAATTTATTTTTCGATAATATATTTTGTACAGATCGTGGAAAACGCGTTTCCGACCAAGACGAAAAGTCATTGTCCAACTCGTTGCAACGGTTTTCTTTTAAAAATCAATTTAAAAATCCTTCCACGGCATTATAGATAATTCTACACAACATAATGCCCACTTTTGTCTGTATTATTACGATTATGTATAATTGTTCGAGTGTATCGCTTACGTGATGCCTTGTGGCCAACATGCCTTTGAAAACCTCGCCTATGTAATCCACTTGCTTCCTGGTGAACTCGAACCTCCGGGGCTTCGGGTCCATGGTCTCCAACACCCGGTGCCACTTCTGCAACATGACCGACTCCAGGTTCTGCCAGTAGTCGGCGTCCGTGTTTTGGAATGCCTGTCCGGTGACGATCGAGTCGCTGCCCATGGACTTCTCGAACAGCCCGTACAAATAGGCCTCGACGATTTCCACGTCGTTCTGGTAGTCTTCCTCGGACACCATCGTCCGGCCGGCCCGGGGCGCGTTCAGCATCACGTTGGCGTACGGGAAGAAGTACGACCTGTGGTGTTGGGTCCTCAGCGCGGCCACCAGGGCATCCAGCACGGACAGCACGTGTCCGGCTACGCACCTGTGGTCCCATTCCTCGACCCGGACGCACTTCTCCAACCGGAACCACAGCAACGTCTTGATCATGTACCCGCTGACCACGCACACGCCGTTGTCGCCCTTCCGCAGTTTCGGCACCTTGGTCCGGAGAAAGTGGTAAATGTTGTTTACCACGCTCCGTTCCGAGTAATGGGTCTGGTACAGGCACTCGGCCGCCGGAAATCTGATCTGCCAGGTGATCTGACGGTTGTAGCACCGGACCGTCTGATGTGGCGCCACCGGCACGGCGTAATATCCCTGCGGGCAAATCAATACTTATCGTTACACAAACTGGTAATATTTGTCGATTATTATTCATCTCGTATTTTCATTAGTGTGTATAATATGAAACGACGGCGAAGTTTCGCGAAAGTTTATTCGTTTCGTCCGCCTAACTTTATTATTGTGTTTATTGGGTCAGCGTTTACACGATACGGTGGCTTTGTCGGGCTCGTTCCCCGTAAATAGTATTCTGAACTTTGAACGCAACAATATAGAATTTTCCATCAGTGCGAGGAGAGGGACGTTAGGGGTTAAATTATATTCCAGCTATTGGCTCAAAAATACAAAAATATATATGTATTTATTCAGTAATTTAATATTGAAATGTAAATATTTCAGCCAATTTAGAAGGAAAAGCATGATTATAAATCGACTTATTTCGGGTTCGTATTTGCTATTTGTCTTCCCGTTGAAAACTTCTGGGCAATGGAAACGTTACTGTTTACCATTATAAGGCGCGTTTTTGCAATGATGTTTTGATCAACTTGGTTACTATAATAATTTAGCTTTAACGAACAAATTGTTTTGGCAATATCGTTTATAGTACGCCAAATAACAATGAGCAAAATAAATGTAAAACTCCGTACAGGCTCTTACCATGGTCGTGGCTTGTTGGTGTATGAGAATATCGGAATGCGTTAGCGGTATTCTCGTTAGGATGTCGGTGTATTTCGGCCAACCGGAAAACTCGATGGAAGGCAAAAGAACGACGGCTATGTCTCCGGACGTTTTCGACCCGGATATCCGTAATTTGATGCACTGCGCGTCTTCAACCACGGCGATTCGTAAATCCCTCGGGTCCGGAAACTTACTGGAACCGGTACCCCCTGCAGTACAGTTATATAGGTACCAGGCACGTACACACACAACAATTTTGGGTTGGGAGCTTTCAGGGGAGGTTCATGAGTGATAGAATAAAAATGTTTCAACAATATACCTATACAGTAAAATAATACATAATACGGTTTTTTTTCAAAAGTTGAGAGAGAGTGGGTGAAACCTTAAATTCTCCCCTCCCCCCTCGTATACATGCCTGAAATTTACAGTCAAAATTACTCCAATATCTCCGCGTGTGAATTACTACTCACCCATCCCGAAAAACACGTGCTCGTCGGCAGGACTTTTGAGAATTTCGTGCAGTAACTCCGCGTCGATGACTTTACCGGGACAACCGCACAAGTAACTCTCGTCCACGTCTTCGGGCTGGCCGGTCAGGTCGTTTCTGGACGCAGACGTGGCCAACAATTCGACGAACCGCAATTTGAATTTGTCGCTAAAACCAAACCCACAGATTTTACTGACAATCATAATACCGTTAATAACCGTTCGTTTTTCGGCTATAAGTACAAAGCGTTATGATAAAAAACAAAAAATGTATGTACTAAAAAACTGGTGAGCCTTAGAAGAGTTCCATTTTTTTCATACTTATCATATCATATCATTTGATCATAATATAAACAAACAGAGCATAAAAAGAGAAAACGCGAAATAAAATGAAAATATGATAGTACTTCCTTTTTTTTGGAATAGAATATCCAGTATAACGTTTATGATTCCTCACTATTAGGCCCAGAATAACATTTTAAAATTGAAAAAAACACAACACGGCGGATGAAAATATTATCAATTTTGATAATTCACTAAATCCATTTGTTTTTTTTCACTAAACAAAAAATAAATACGTTTTCCCCCGAAAAGTAATACCAGCTCTATCTCATTTTAATGCCATTTGCATAACTTACAGCAGCAGATTGGATCAACTTTTAAGTTCGTTTATATTAATATGTCAATGAATCACATAGATTTGTATGCAATCAATAATGCATGCCACTTGCAAAAGACCTATTACAAGCGAGTATATGCGAAAATTTTTACGTGTGTTGAAACTAAAGTATATACAGGATCTTCCAGAGTTCACGATACAGTCAAATTTTTCATGAAATATATACATTTTAAAAATATGTCTCATTTAATATGTTATATCATATTTTTTAAAATGTTCAAATTGCCTTTAATTTTGAAGTTGAAACGGTTACCTATTTTTGTTTTTCAAATAGCAGTCTATGTTAAAAATTCCATAAAAAAATGAAGTATTAATTTATAAATACATTTTAGTATTGAAATTTTGAGCTGTTTAAATGGCGCGCGCTATACCGCCACCCAAATGACGGACAACTACTTTCCTCTCTACGAAACTTAAAAGTGGAATATTTGGTCAACGGGTTGATGGCAGTCCAAATTTCTTGAAAATCAAAATTAAATAACCATTTCAATCCCAGAAATAATAGCCATGTAATATTTTAGAATATAAGATTATTTAAAGTGTTTAATTGAGTCATTTGTTTAAAATATAAATAATTCACGAACAATTTGACTATAACATGAAATTTGAAACACCCTATATATTATCCCAATGACCTCGCGGCATTTGCATATTAAAAGAATAATAATGATAATTTTTAATAAGAAAAGTTTGTAATTCGTGAAATTCTTGCCACCGCATAAGGTTTTCGACAAAACGCGTGGTTATCATCAAACGTGTCACGGGAAAAATCCCGATTTGATTAATGACGGGATTTCGGGTGGTGTTATCGTATCACCGTCCGGATATACGATAGTTGACACGTTTCATAAATTTCAGGTAGTTGTGTCTCACGCGCGTTTATTAAAATCGGTCATTAAAATTTGACACGATATTGATATTATTATAAAATATATGAAAATACGTGTTTATGAAAATCGAAACCGAAACTCTCGAGTCGAACACGCCACCGCTCGAATATGACGACAAAATAAATCGGTGTGAAAATATTGAATTTATAATTTGTTTGTATATTATCTCTATTCGGTAGAGAGGAGGGCGTAGTAAAATTATAGTTTAGTTTTATCAACAATATTAATAATAATTACTTTCGTTAAAAAACTAAAAAATCAAAATAAATTATTAATTACTAAGTAAAACATTTTTAAATAATTCAAAATGTTTTTTTTTTTTTTTTTTTTAAATGAGGATAAGTGTTTGTTTGCAAATATCTCAAACCGTTTTGTACAACGTTAAAAGTTTTAAAAAAATAATTTATGACTTTCTACAGGTATACTACATTTTTTATGGCGTTAGTATGTTAATTTAAGGTTGTCCAAAGGAAGTTTCTCCGGTCCGTGCTTACACCATGGGCGTTCCATACCTGTCATATGGTTGTACACCTGTACTTCATGCTCTCAAACTTGATAATCTCGCCAAACGTAGATTTCAGTAGAATACTTCTTTTCTCACAGCTCTTCTCGATAACAATATCGATTGTCCTTTCCTCCTATCATAAAACGACTTTCGCATTCCAAATTCTAATGCTCGCTCTCACATCGTTTTCCTCATGCCTTTCCCTTACGCCAACCTCAATTCAAATTCCTCTCTCCTATGAACCATGTAGACCACAAATACTGACCCCTCCTTTTCGATACCAGTTCGAGTCTCAGTTAAATTCAAAATTATAATCTGTAAATCTTAAAATTGTAATTTGTCTTATATCGTTAATTTATTCTATGATATCCTTGCTTGAGGTGGTCACGTGTCAAATAAAAAATAAATTTAATAAAGTTAATTTTACGAAAAAAATAGCTTTAATTAATAAACTATAACTTTTTCGACTAACCAACCTATTAGTTAGAAAAACATGACGATACGAACTGGCGAAAAATCCGACAAAACAATATTATTCCAATGCCTCGTTTATCTGTTCTATTCTTGAATCGTTTCTAATAACTCGAAACGGTTGAAACTCTTAGTGATTTCGAAACGATTTGAAACGGTTCATATTGTGATAGAAACAGTTTAAAGTTACAACATATTTAACTGCACCATATAAACGTAGTAAATGAAAAGTGAGTTGCCCGTAAAAGTTTACTTATAAACTATAAGTAGTGGACAAGCCACTACGTAATATACTTTTATCATATTAATTTATTTACGCAATTTAAATATTATTTTTACTATCGTATTTTTCTTTACCGTCTAAGATATCCGTCGTTATCGATTAAATCGGCCCATTTTTCTGGTTCGTTGGTAACCACTCGGATTTTAGCGAAACCCTGGGGTAGACCGTCTTCTTCCAGTACGCATCTGACTTGATATTCGAAATCGTCTTCGTACATTTTCGGTTCTGACAGTACGTCAATCCGTACATAATAACTGAAGCTTTTGGACAACTAGAATGATAATATTGTAATATATTAGATCGGTGGCGTAGCCAAGATTTTAAGTTTGAGAGAAGGTTAGCCTTAAATAAATACTTGAATACTAAACACATTTTCCAGCAAAACTTCAAAAGTTTTCGAGAGGCTAGAATTCGGTTATCGATAAAACATGTAAGTTAAAAAATTTGTTTGTATCATTGATAAAGAAAAAAACGAATATATTTTTTTACAATTTATGTCAAATAATATACAAATTACTATTATTTGTGCATATATTATAAAAAAAAAATTAATTATTTTTAAGAACAAGTTGGTGGAGCGGTGTCTCCCTTTGCCCTCCCCCGTAAATACGCCACTGTATTCTATTATATTTTAAAACATATTTATATGTTATTCAATATCGATTTTAGGGTTTTTGAACTTTTGCGGGTATTTTTTAAAAAGTAATGTTTGATACATAGATGATAAAATATGTGTACAAATTATTTAATGCCCGGATTTAAACGCAGAATGGATTTTTTCGGCTGCTTTATATCGGATGGTTCATTCATTTAGAGTACATGCTTTGATCATTCGTGTAACAAATCTTTAAAAGTGAAACTTTGATTTAGCATTTTTTGACGTTTTCTTGTTTTAATATCAATCAAGGAATTTAAATTGGTGCCTAATGATTATAGTTTAAAAAAAAAACAAATTTTTTTCGAACCTTTATCGAAGACGACATGGGTTCAGCGGTAATTAAAAATTTGCTGGCGAACCGTTTGTCCAATTTTCCAATACCACACAATAAACGTTGTACGATACGATGCACGATAGCTTCGATGTTCAATGACGTCGAACTAGTAGGCAGGTCATCTATACATACGTAATAAATTAAAACAATATTAACGATAAATATACAAAGGTGTTCCACGAAGATATACTCGTTTCAATATCTTCTGAGATATTTCGGAGAAAAATATTGTATGATTTAATATTATAGTAATGTTTTTAAAAATTATCTCCTCTCGTTTTCTGATAAATATTATTTTTTATAATATGTTTTATTATAATACCGAAACACTATTATGTGTAATAGATTTTGTTTTTTCTATAAATTAAAATAAATATTAAAAACCACGAGGTTAATGTAAATAAACGTTTAAACATCAACATTATCAGAATATAACCTCCATAACAATAAATCTTCAAATTTCTCGAAAAAAAATAAAATAAAGGTATTTTTAAAACAAAAGTTTACTATAAAATAAAACTATAATTATAATATGAATGTTTTTAGGTCATATTCCGGTTAAAAAAAAAAAAAATTTCATTACTTTCAAGAGATATTGCAATTGGGTATTCTTCGTGGAATATCCTGTATTTGTTTTTCTACTTTAATAGTTTTACACTGCGTTAGTTTTTAAGACAAATGTCATAAAATCGAAACAAAAAGTTTATATAAGTTTACATGTAGTTAACTTTGATTAAATTTCAACTCAATCGGGTTAAAATTTAAATATACATATATATATATATATTTTTTTTTATGAAAAATGCGATTTGCATAAAATAATAAGTAAATATATATAATAAACGAGACGGGAAAAAAACCGTGAGCATAATCAGAATTCTGCCACTAGAGTATGTACAGCAGACAAAACGCAGTGAATTAGGTAATCTACATTTTCCGGAAAAATTAACGCAATACTCGCCTGTGTATTTTCACATTAATTTTATATAAACATTTATAATGTCTACTTCGAACTATTTATTTGTATTATATAGGAACACGGTTCCGGGTAAAACGAAATTATTATTTTATACAAATGCGGGTACAATACACGATTATATTACTTTTTGTAGGATTTGTCATAAACACTGTGATATAAAGAGTGATTAATGAAGCTTAATTAATTTAATATACATTTTTAGATGATAACAATAGGAAATTGATTTTAATTTAAAATACAAATTATACATATACAGAGTAATTCTTTTATCATGGACCAGCAATTTTCTCCAGAGTAATTCTTTTATCATGGACCAGCAATTTTCTCCTAGGATTTTAAGTGAATTAAGTGGTTCCTGTTTTTTTTTTTAATCATTATGGAATTGTTTGAGCTTTATTTTAACACTATTTTCAATTTTAACCCCTACCCTTTAAACAGTTTTCTTAAAAATCATAAATGTTCGATTCAATACTATAGTATTTAATGCATATCGAAATAAAGGTTTATTATAGCAGTACAGGATGAACATCTGAAAATAGTGTTAAAGTATAGCTAAATAAATTCCATAATATAATGATTGAAAAAAAAAAGGTCTCCTAAGATAATGAGGACGGGTGCAGCCACTGTTATAAGTGAGAAGTTGGGAAGGTACTAGAGGGCGAACTTAATTTATATTTGTACGATAACGATTAACCATTAATTCTTAACAAAAAAACGATTCTGAGCGGATATCGGTTGATAGTGTTGCTTTATCAATAATAAATATGTCGTATTATGGTAAAACAATAATAATTACACGTACATTAAATATTTTCTTTAGTAATATTTAATTAACATCGCACTTATTTTCTAGTTTTTGTTACATTTTGTAAATTTTCCTGTTTTTTTTCTGGTTTTTCTCATTTCTCGGGAAAACTCCCTGAAAAATCGAAAAATTACTTCTTTAAATTACCCCCCACCCCGCCCAGTCATATTTCCTTTCAGAAAAATTGTTATCATTATAAATCTGAGCGAAATTACTAGTAGGAAAGTTTTCCGCAGAAAAATAAACATTATTGTAAAACCAATACGTCCTTCGGTTCACTCAGAATCTAAAAGGAAAGAAGCATTTACATAAAATCAACCGAGAGAATCGCTGCAAAATCATAGTGAAATTATCACTCTGCCATATATTATGGTCTGTTTTCTACATATTTATATTGTGTTTTCGATATATTTTCGAAATAATACTAATAGGGTCTTATTATTACTATTGGTTTTTCGGAGTTACGGTGCAGTTTCAGATAAAATATAGAAACGCGTGTGCGTGATTCGGTTTCACTTTTGTATCCACGCGGCAATAATAATTATTTTCGCGGATTATAATACACATACACTAACTCGAAAATAAAATTACATAATAAATAAAACATTCGGCGCGAAACCATTAGAACACGGTGTATTATGGGTGCGTTTCAACCCTCCGAAATTAGAAAGTCGAAACGTATTCACGCGCTCATTCCCATCGCCGCCGACACGCCGTTGCCGCCGTCGCGTCTCGTATACTTGATGGATTTTCAAGGATCATTTTTTTTTTTTTGTCGGTTATCGTTTTGAAAGGGTGAAACCCTATTCTCGTCGAGGGTTTAAGATGACTCGCATTACGCCCTCTCGAAAAGCGTTCAAAGCGATATTTCATCGAACGAAGAAAATACAACCCCATTGTTAATCAGAATGTAAAGCACACACGTTTGTTCGTAGTAATAATAATATAATATAATATTATTGTAACGAACTCGGTGAAAGCGTGCAGGTATTTGCTACCGTTACTCGCATTATTTTATCGTTATTGTGCGATTTTTTTTTTTCTTACAAAATTTTAATAAATAACAATCATCAATAAGTATCCGTACATGGGATAGGATGGAAGAACCACGTCATGGTTGTATTACCGAGAACTAGCTGAGATTTTGAGGCGATGCCGCGATAATAAACAACCGAACAGAAAAGTTTCATTAAATAAAATAAAGTAGTTCTCGAGATTTTCGTTACCATCAAACTGGCGGCGGGAGTGGAGGTTGAAAGTTTAAGCCTTCTAGACACATTTCCGACAAAATACCGAAAATACTAATATATTATATATACATTTTAATCCTGTTAATAACTTTGATGAGTCTGTGGGAGTATTTAAGACCCGTTATTTCCTGGGAATACATGAAATTTGAGCAAATTCAAAGTTGAGTTGGGATAGGGATTGAAAGCTGAAACCATCAAAAGGTACTTGCACCACGAATATACAAAACTGTATCCAGTGGCATTATTTGAAGGATCTGTAGGGGTGTACAAAACTAGAAAACATCCTCCTCTCAAAATTATTTTATCACTTTAATCCTTTAAACTCATTCGGTCCAGAATAGTGTCCAAATATATCGGATAAAAATTAATATACTGAATGTCCTACAGTGTTATCCTTATGCAAATAATTCTGGCAATATTCATTGTTTTTTTTCAATCGGGTTTTGTGCGAGAAAGACACGACATGTGTGGAGGAAATTACATTTTTATTTTTATCCCTTAATTATTTATTTTATCGTTTTTAAAAATTATCATAATATACATTCTGTTCTAAACATTTTACATAAGTGTTCTCCTCTTAAAAAACCCGAATGAAAAAATAAAATGCAAAAAAAAAATAAAAATATTGACAGACTTAGTAGCGTAAGGATAACACTGTAGTACACTCTGTATATGTACACAACAGACACAATACTTTGTTCTATTTTCGGCAAAAATTCAACGAAAAAAATGACTTTGTTTACGCCCCCGAGGGGACCCGCATCACGTACCCGTGTTCTCGTAGCCACGTAGAAAGTTGTCGTTGAGCCTTTGAATCTGACCGGCGTTGAAACGCAGCTCGGTGGACGGCAAGTACAGCTCCTTTTCGTTTCGACGGACACCCACACGGCCGCTAGATCCGCAGCCCATAATGAAGTTTGGACTATACTTCTCTCTATATATAATATAATGACGGGGCACTTGACGTACAAAGTCCCGACTGACTTTGTGCAGGCCGTGCTTGTGTGGCTATTGGGTTACCGCCAGACCGGTTGCGGAAGAACACTTCCGGTAGTCTGAGGGTCCGGTCCCCCACTCCTACTCGTTATCACAGCGGGAGTTCCGGTGCGTTGCGTCCGCGTTTTTCGCGTCCGGACCCCGTGACCGCAGTCTATTGCGTCCGTGTACACCTATACCTGACATGTTATTATTATCGTCATCACCTTCGTCATTCATTATTATGATTTAAAGGGAGTTCACACTAGCTGCAGTGGCGTACCTACCAGGAGTCGGGTTAAATCCCCCCCTCCCAGTCTCAGATATTAAAATATACATAATGAAGTGTAAGCACGCTATGAAAGTAGTGCGAGTCCAAATTTTATTTTCATAATCCATTGTAATTTTATATTTATATTAATAATATTTAGTGTTCAATATTTGATGTTTTTTTTTTTTTCCAAATAAACTGATTTTTCAAAATATTATTTGGTTGTGTATATGTTTTAACTATGATATTATTATGATCTCTGATAGCTCTTATTGTGTGTCCACTAAAATCCCTCCAATAAAATATATTAATGTTTCATTTAAATTCCCTATGAAAATAGATTTTATTCGTCTATAAAACTTTATTAGAAAGTTAAAAGTAACACGCCACTGCGCACTAATATGTTAGCGTTTTTGCGTTTTTCTTTCTTTCTTTCTTTCTTTAGTTTTCGTTTTTTTTTTTTTCATCAATTTAAAACTCTTATTAACTATATATATTATCTTTACTCGTAGAATGGATTTAAGGTTGTGTGGGCCCCATCGCCAATATTAACTAGAGACCTTGATAAATAAAAGTAAGTTTAAATTTTTTAAAAAAAATATAAAAATTTGTAGGTATTTAAATTTGCAAAAGAAACTTACTACCGAATAATGATAGTAGATACATATTTCGTGGAGGTCCATCACAAAGTTAATTTCGTTAGGTCTCTAGATCTGGCTCTCTCGGGACCTCCTAAATCCAACCCTGCCTACTCGTATGTACCAGGTGATCCATTTAAATTGGGTACACTCATTATCTCGGAAAGTATTAACTTTTTCCGAAATTTGTTTTCTAGATCATTTAAGAAATAAGCTGCTCTAAAGTTGTATACTTATATTAATTTTTGTCACTCTTATTTTATGGGGTAAAACCACCACCTACTTTTGATTTTTTAATGGCAACTTATACCGAAAGATTCATAAATAGATGGAGTATTAGTTAAAATAAATTTCAGCGTTGAAATTTTTGATTTCTATCGTGTTTTTGACGAGATATTCCACTTTTAAGTTTTAGTTGGAGGAAAGTAGTGGAGTATCATTTGTGTGGCGGTACGGCGCGCGACGTGCTATTAATGCACCACTACTCTCCTCCAAAATAAAATTAAAAGTAGAATACTTCGTCAACGGATAGATGGAAATCAAAAATATCAACATTTAAATTTATTTTAACTAATACTCTATCTATTTATGGATTTTTTTTTTTATATAGGTTGCTATTTGAAAATCAAAAGTAGGTAGTAGTTTTACCCCTAAAAATAAGAGGGACAAAAATAAGCTGTTTTTTTTTTGAAATGTTCTAGAAAACGAATTCCGGAAAAAGTTAATACTTTCCGAGATAATGAGTGTAACCACTTAAATGAATAACTTGGTATATTATGATCCCGAAATAAACGAGAATAAATCGTCTAATTAAACTGAAACACGGCAATTTTCGTATCGTAAAACTCATATTACGTCGCGTAACACAGCTGTTGTATAGAAATTGAATGTTTTCGAACTGGTGATCGAAATAATAATATTATTAACATTATTTTACCGTACATCCACGCCTCTGATTGGTTAACGCTACAACTAAAACCTATGCAGCGTGAATTTCGCTTTATCTCGTGTATGTTATCCGCCGTTGGATATTTAATATAATACGTCACGCCGACCAAAACCAAACACCATAACGTTCTCACGTGATGAATAATATGTGAACAGGTGTTTGGTCGAAAAATATATATGGATACTCGTAATAATATTGTATAATCTATAATATATATATATAATATACACGTGCCTAGAGGTTTTATTATGTTTATTTGTTTGTTTGTTGTTGTTTTTTTTTTTTTTTTAATCTGTTTTTTGTTCGTGTATGGAAATTACATCATATACATACAAAAAAAAAAAAACCAATCCCATATAATTCCCTTGCCGACGAGACGAACGACATCGAAAACACGAATCCGAGATTATTTGCATAATTTGCTTTTCCCCCTGTGTGGTACCTATAACATACAGTGTCTCATCGCGCGCGCGTCCCAACAATTAAAATACATATTTTACATTTGTTAATATTTATACCTAATTTATTATTGAAATAAAATAAATCATACGGCTATTTCGAGAAAAAATATACCAGCAGTAATATCTGCGTAATTATGCGGCCCATTAACGCAAAAGCAATTTACGAAAATCGAATTTGAAAAAAATATGAGACGCGCGTAGTCAGACACCCTGTGGAAATATTAATGCGGCAAATGTGATAATAAAACTAAAACAAAACAAATCTCGTACGATCCGAGGAAACATAAATTAGAATATAAAATGATTCCCCCCGGCGACGCGGTGTGCCTATACATATTTTCACCGCTAACGTTATTAAAAAAAAAAAAAATTGTTTTATTATTTATCAGGTGCCAAGGAGTCAACGTATTATTAATTAATGAGACCGCGACACCCGTTTTGTTTCATAAAACATCTCTGAGGATAATATAACGAGTATTAAAACTGTATAGGGGTTATGACTATCACGTAGGTAGTTTAATTTATTTGCGGTGGTTTTTATTTTTTTTTGTTTATGGCGAAATTATTTTTTTTTCCTCGTCAAAAGATGTTCACGCGGACGGTTTCGTAATAATATAATTTCATTTTAAAAGCGGAAAACTATTTAATGACGTTTTTTTTTTTAATAGCAACTAATATATCTGACATAAGCCTTCGTAAAATTACGTAAAATACTCGCAAAATTAAAATGTCTTTAAAAAGCTCAAAAGTGGCTAAAGTGTTTTGACAATTTTACCACTTCTAAAAAAGGCAAATTAGTTTTTTGTCCAAATTTCAAGGCTCTATAAATATGTTTAACTAAATCACAACAAAAAACAAAATTTTTCATTAAAGTTAATTGTTTAAGATTATCAAACTTGTTTAAATAGAAATAATAACACTTGTTAGATTTAATATTTTGTTCCAACATTGTATAATAGTAAATCTGTATTGGGGAAAAAAACCGAAATATTGGTAGGCTCATCTACATTTTTCACACTTTTGATTTTTATTCTTGAGAACTAGAAAATACAGTCAGACAAATAATTACATATCATTCTGCCTTCCTAAACCTTTGAGATTAGAAGGACTGAATTCTTATGAAATCATGTTAATTCGGTTTTGACATTATGATCTTTAGTCACATATATAGTTATGTAAAATGTTTATAAAAAAAAGAAGCTAAAGGATTCGAAAATTTTTTTTCGAATGACAGTAACATTAAATTGTTTACGTTGACAGCTTTAAACGTTATAAAAAACTGACAATGAGATTCCACAATAATTCTTGATATTACAACGTAAACTATTTATCAACTTCATTAATAGCGTAAGAAAATGAATAATCTTCTTGGAGCGCTTAATAGGAGCTGACATGGAGGTAATTATTTTGATACGTGCTGACAAAAATCGTTTTTCCTTGGGACACAATTTCATGGAAATACAAAAACAACTAAGTATTTTATTATAATAATTTTGTAGTTACTGATAAAACGAATGTAGCGAAATATATATACTAATCTTTGAATAACGAACGCGTGGACAAAAAATAAAATGTCTACCGTTAAAATCGGTGTAAAAAAAAAAAAATAGTTTCATTAATATTTGTTTTCGTTGAAACTTGAAAGTATACGATGTCCCATTTGAAAATCAAACCACAACAACGGGTTCACCCCTAACGGTCCCAAACATAATAATGAAGAGAAAAATAAGATCAATGAAACATTTATGAGCGGCTTGTTTCTTGAATTTTCTAAAAAAACGATTCCGTAAAAATTTAATACTTTCAAAGAGAAACGAGTGTCTTAACAAGATTGATCGCCCTGTATATAGGCAGTGTGCACAATGAAATCTAAAATGTTTTTAATAAAGCCTCGCGGGAGTGCGTGCAATTTTCAACGAATATAATATATTATATAGGTAATAGTGAACGAGAATTGATACCTTAGCGGACTACTAGTGGCAAATAAATCCGAAAATGAGTTTCGTTTGAGAAGTCGACTCGACCTTACGACTATACACGAGCCCGTTTTCATCCTGGTTTATCGATTTGTATTTCCCCCCCCCACACGTGGACACTGTATGTACGTCCTGTACGGAGTGGCACGTGCGAAAACGTCAACCATGATATAACTTATAATATTTTACCCACGGCGATGTGGTGTTTCGTTGTTTACGGTTGCCAAACGAAAAAAATATTACTATCCAAAGGAATAAGAAATCCACATATATAATATATAAGACCATAATGCTATAAGCGTGTGCAATATACACGATGACTCGAAACCACGAGAATTCTCTCCACGACCGTAAATATTTCGAGACAATATTCAAATCATAAAACGTTTGCGGGCTTTATAAAGCATATAATAATTATGTACGATATCACAAAATATTTATGAAGAATAATACTGTCACGCGATATTAAAATTTTTTTTTTTTTATATTGAAAAACGGTCAAATTCGTATGGTAATTTCTGGTAATTAATTTTGTACAAGTATACAAAATCGCATATTTTCGTCGTTTATATAAAAGAAAAATAATATATTTCCCTTGATTAAATTGAAACATTTTAAAAATCGTACCTAGACGTACCCTTCAGACGTGCAAGGTAATATAATTTAATTAGTAAAGGGTTTTTTTTATTTTTTAGTAACCATAAAAAATTAGAATAATGAAAATAAACACTTCGTTTTACACAGTTTTTGTGCGAAAACTAAACTTAAAGTACATTTTAACACTACGCTCTAGCTTAAAACATACTGCACGATAAATCACTTCTAAAGTATTAACGTCGAGATTTCCTATCCCTAAAATGTCCGCTTTGCACCTGTGTCTCCTCTCCGTAAACTTTTAAAGGCTCTATAATTTGCAGACTGTACATATTATTATAACAATCCACTTATTGCCATTACATCATAAAATGTGCAAAAACACACTATA